CCAACGCCACGCTAACACCTCCAAGGAGGTCTCCAACGCCTCCCCGCCCCGCCTACCAAGAAGCCTAGCAAGAGGCCAACCCTCAAACGAAGAACCAGTCCCTCACCGCAAAGAAAGCCATCGTGAAACCAAGGGCTATTCCCAAAATAATATCCAAGAGAAGGAAGAAGGAACTGATGCATATAAAAAAGACATGTCTAGATTCTATGACAAACTTAAAATGAATCAAGAAGCAAGGAGAAACCCAAGAAACCGTACTTCTTCGTAGCTCCAGATATTCTAAGAAAAAGGTGACTTCTTACCAAAGAACAACAAATGGGAATCTCGTAAGCCGTCCAAATCAATGTTATCGGACTATGACCGCACTCTCACCAAGTCAATTGAGGCGGCACGTAAAAAGAAGCGGGCGAAAAGGCATTGCCCAACTTTCGGACAACAAGCGCACCAATCAATCCCCGCTAGTTGTTGGTAATGAATATGGTTCGAATTTAGGATTAATGCATCAGCAAATATACCTCCGGATGTCGATTTGGATCACCTTGGTGAATTTCTTGATGAGACCGGTCTCGACCTTTACCGGATGTTTGGTGATGGAAACATTGAGAGTGCGACGGAGGTTGATATTTGGAAGAAAAAATTTGTACTAGGCCGAGTCTATACAACCCTCAAGCCTTATCTCGATCTGGGGGACGCAAATGTACCTACTAAACAAGTGGTACATGCAAAGCGCTCTACCAAAGGAGACTTCTACGTTGGTGTCGTAATTAGAGACAAACATTGGTTCCGTGGCGATGATGTTATGTATGTTGACTTTGCGAGAATTTCATCAACTATGCCACCTGACCTCTCTCCGGACAAAGTTATCATTAGCTCGCTATTGCCCTGTAAGTAATAATTCTTTCGATCTATTATTAAACTCATCATATGTGTGTATATGCATATAAATTATCCTAACAAGTACTATATATATGCAGATTTACAATGACAGAGCTCTCGAGAAAGGAAGGCTGCAATGAAATTGGTTTTGTTGATCTCCATATAGTATTCAAGACCCAATTACTCCAAAGACTAATTGGAAGTCCGAGTCGAGAGTAACCTCATGAACTTCTTAGTGAACCAACGCCACAAGAAGGATATACTCTTTCCTATAACTTCAAGTGAGTGTTAATCATGTCGATCATATCCTTAATGGCTCATATGTTGATTCTAGTTAATTAATGAGTGTTATGCGTTATATCCTATAAACACATGCAGCAATCATTTGGATATTGATGGACATCGATCCGGTGAAAAGTCACTTGATAATCTATGACTCGATGAGAAACCACAACAAGACTACCAAGATATGATAGATATTATCCAGAGGTAATTTGGGATCTCTAGCAACTATATATACACACAAACATGATGATTAACTATATCTGATGATGTGGCAAATTTTTATTAGGCGTTTTTGGAAAACCTTTATTGAGAAGCAACACATGGAAAAATGCAAAGCGCCATCGAATGTAATCCCTTTGAAAGTAAGTCCACGAATCGCATCATCTTTATTAATTAAACATATAGCTTTCACCGGATCACCAGTTGGATGACAAATCTTTTTCTCGTAAAGTGGTGTCTAAAGGCGAGAACAGGGAACAACTATCGTGGTTACTATGTTTTGCAAGTTTATCAAGGTGCTCTCCCAAAGAACTCCTACAGAGAGACTCAAAGTACGTTAAAAATACACTATATATTCATTTAATTATTATTATTGATTGTGTTACTATGTCTTTATATATATATATGTACATATATTAATTTATTTTCCTTTAATTCAAACCTCAGAGACTCGATGGTTGGAGGAAAAGGTCATACGGCAAGACCAAATCAAAGCAATTCAAGAGTCTATAGCGGATTTTTTAATGAGCAGTCATCGATTTCAAGGGCGAGTTCTACTTCGACCCAACACTTTGCCATTGAAGCCAAGCTAGAGGATGAGAGGAAACTTGTTATGTCACAACAACTGTAATGCAATCTTTTGTAATATATGCACATGAAATAATATAATGTAAAATACACATATGCATGCATGCATGTAAATATATATATGATGCATGCATATATATATATATATATATATATATGCTTGAATTGTGTGATTTAATACGTTCATTGTGCTTGAACCAAAAACATACTATATGCGGCGTATAAATGTATAATTAGCAGCGTACAATACGACTTCGAAAACCTATTTTGAAAAGAAAACAAAAAAAATGAAAAGAAAAGAAAAAGAAAAAAAACCTTTAGTCCTGGTTAGATATTAACAACGGGACTAAAAGTGCCGCCATCGTGGCATGTCGGGAGGCACCTTTAGTCCCCACAGGTGTTACCCACCGGGACTAAAGGTCCTCCTTAGTCCCGGTTCTGACCGGGACTAAAGGACCCCCCTTTAGTCCCGGATGCTTGCTCCCGGGTGGGGAACCGGGACTAGAGGGGGTTCCCCACCGGGAGTAAAGCTCGGTTCTCTACCAGTGATGGTGGATCGCGGGGGTGATAGCCTTGTTGAGTCCTTTGTAATCCATCTCCCGTTTGTAGGCCAAGTAGGATGCGGTTTGCGGTTGCGACGAAAGTCATGCTTTGTTCGTGATCTTCCTCAGTAATATCCCTTATGTGTAGATATGAAGTTAATCTTTAGCCATGATTATTAATTATATTTGCACAATCAGTGTATACTTTGACTCATAATTAAGAATGACTTAGGAATTAATTTCTCTATTGTATCTACTTAGTCTTGCTATTGCTATCATAAGGAGTACTCTGAGTGTTATATTTATCATTTATATATATAAATTATTCTATATCTTGATTTACGCGTGTTTAGAGTAGAAGGTTGGTTGGTTCATCTATCATAACTATAAATTATTAATATATTTCCTTTGTCAGTCCTTCCCTAAGGTAAAAATATAAATAACGATACCTGTAATACTCCCAGCTAAAGTGCTACAATGGTATCTGTGCGCTTACAGAATTCCTTAAATATAGATTTATATATATTCTTTCTAAGTCACAATAAATTACCATAAGTGTCATTATTAGACGTGATGTTAGGAAATACCAACAATAGCCCGAATAAAAAAGCAGCATGGGCCCAAGAGATTATGGCTTTCTTCTGCTCCGCGACACCACGCCAGTCATTAACAGATATATCAACCGCGTATGCCTGGCAGCTCTTTGACTTTGAATAATCGTAAATCTGGCTATCACTTGACTACATTGCACAAGGATTAAAACCTGATACCCGTACCATAATAATGAGGAACAAGATATAACTTGCTAGTTGCACATTCACAAAAGGAAATTTTGATTCAACAACAACAGCAATCTCCTACAAAGAGTACGCAAATGTTTAGAACCGTAGAACATAAAAAGGGCACTCAAATGCCTCGTTCACTTAACAGTCGAATTAATTAAAGCAAATACTTTTTCTCATCATCATGACGTCATGGTCCATCCGTCCATGCGTTTATTAGAGCAAGCGTACACAAAGTTCACACTTCACTCGTCTTCGTCATCGTCAGCAGCAGGTGGAAGCATTGGAGCCAGCGAGGTGCTCGCCGCCCACCGATGCTACTCCAGGCCACAGCGCGTACAGGAATCCCTAATGCTCTCGTGAGAACGTCCGGATGGATGGACGTGGCTTCCCCACTTGCTACCTGCACTCCGCTCGCTCCCATCCGCGCTTCCAAAAAATCTCTCTACAGCACTCTGCTTTTACCGCGCTGCCTGCCTTCCCTACTCTGAGCTCCACCGCGCCGCTCGCCTACACCGCAGCATCCACCCGCCGCGGTCGGCCGCTATGGCCGCCTTCGATCCACCATGCTACCTGCTCATAGCGGTTGCCGATCCACCGAGCTGGCAAGCCTCAATGATGGATGCTCCAGCAAACAGGCAAGGAGCTTCATGTGATGCCCGCCCCGCCGGCAAGTTGCTCGCACCACTGCCACAATGGCGAGCTCCATCCACCACCGCCAACCTCCGCGCCGACATCAAGCTCCGCAACAATGAGCCTCTATTCATTCAAGCAGCAAGGTGACATTGCGCTAAAAGCGCATGTTGCAAGTGTATATTTCAAGTATTTCAGATGTTTAATCTAGATGTTGTATGTGTGTTAATCTAGATGTTGTAAAAAAAGTAGATCGGAATGTTGCACATATTGCTGTGGCTATACACGTATGTTGTAAGTGTATGTTTAAATATTTCAACTGTGTTCAGACGTATGTTGTAAGTGTATGTTTCAAATATTTCAGCTGTTTCAAACGTATATTGCAAGTGTTTTACCTGGACGTTGTATATGTTGTAGTGGCTATACACATATGTTGTAAGCGTATGTTCCAAATATTTTGCTTATTTCAGACATATGTTGTAGCCAGTATTTTATGTTGCAAGTGTTTTCATTCGCCGACACGGGGAGTGATCGCGGGCAGAGGCAGTCCCCGCAGGGCGCAGCAGCATGCGGGCCGGCGTGCACTGGTGCAGCAGCATGTGTAGCAGCAGCTGGCAGGCAGTGCGGGTAGCAGTAGCAGCAGGCGGGCAGCACGTGACAGTCCGCACGCTAGCCACGCCGTTTCTAGAATACTGGTTTGGCTTGTCCTAGTTTTTAAACCCTAGCCCCACCCCTGGTACTCAAGCCTTTCCTACCATCACATAAGATTATGGGCATTGTCAATGTGTGTGATGACCATAATTTAGTTCTGTGACATCATAAACATTTGAGTAGTATCTTGCACGCCATCAAAAAAGACTTCCGTCGAAACAAGACTAGAATGCAAATATATATCGCGGACTGCAATAGATATGCACCAGCATGGCGCAAACCTCGTCAGCATGTTGCTCCGGTGCCAACCCCTCCTCTGATCCTTGATGAAGGAGGAATCGTCCACAGTGTCCAATCTGGCCCATCAAACTTGAAATTTCAAACTGAGGAGATAAGGCCCAGCCCAGTTGCAGCAAGGGGCCGAATGACAAGTGATGTCAGGCAGAAAAGAAAAAACATGTGTCTCCCTGAGGTGGCTTCAAGCAGTGATGCTCGCACCCCACTAGCTCAGAAAAGTGTTCGTCGTAGCCTGAGACGTGCTAACAGTGAAGGTTTTTGTGAAGTCCGAATTGACAAAGAGCCCTCCAAGAGATGCAAGAATTGGCTCGTTCAGATTGATGAGGCTACTGGGCAGTCTGGCCCGCTCTCTATTTCAGTTCTGCAAGGTTGGGGGGTGAAGTGCGGTGTGGATCCTAGCGATCTCACCGAGGATGCGCTGCTACAGGCGCCTTCTCTGCAGGTTCCAAATGAAGAAAATGAATGAGCTTCTCTCTGCAGCACCTGGGGTGCTGTTTGTCTTTTGTTTCTCTCTGCAGCACCTGCCATCGAACTATATTTCTATGTGTGCCATGATCAGCTCTGTTTTTCTATCTGTCATCATGTGTACTTCTTGTCTGATGATCCTGGTGACATCGGAACCTCTCTCCCCTCAATCCGTTTATCCCAATGAGTACACATAATTGGCATATACTTTGTTGGAATATTCGTGGGATCAATGCATCGGAAAAGTGGGATGCGGTTAGGGAAAAGATAGAGGAAAGCTCGTGCTCGGTTATCTGCCTTCAAGAAACGAAGCGTGAGCACTTTGATGCTTCTTATATCAGAAAATTTGCACCGAGACGCTTTGATAGTTTTGATTTCATCCCCTCAGTTGGTGCTTCGGGAGGTATTTTGGTGGTCTGGAGCAGTGCAGTCTTCAGGGGAAACGTGCTGGACAAGCAACGTTTTGGCATAACACTATCCTTCACCTCCATGCAAAACAATGATGTCTGGAAGCTAACCACGGTCTATGGACCTTGTGACGAGCCTGCACGTTCTGAATTCATTTCTTGGTTTCGGGGACATGCCATTCTTGATTCTGATAATTGGATCTTCCTGGGAGATTTTAATTTCTATAGAACATTGAATAATCGCAACAGGCCTGGAGGTAACTTAGCTGACACTCTTATTTTCAACGATGCAATTGGTCATTTGGGGCTTGTTGAATTACCTTTGAAAGGCCGAGCCTACACCTGGAGCAACATGCAGTTAGATCCACTTTTGGAACAGCTAGATTGGTTCTTTACTTCACCAAATTGGACGGTTGAATTTCCAAATACTGAGGTTCTTCCCCTTGGGCGAATCACCTCTGATCATGTCCCCAGTCAGATTGTAATTAGCACCAGTATTCCCCGAGCAAATATTTTTCGTTTTGAGACCTTTTGGGCAGAGCAACATGATTTTGTTGACACGGTGAATGAATGTTGGAACTCGGTTGCTCATATATCAGATGCTGCCAGGGCAATATCTAGTAAATTCAAAGCCCTCAGATCAAGACTGAGGGAGTGGAGCAAGCACCTTTCCAACCTTAGGCTCTACATTGATAATTGCAATACAGTCATCAGCTTTTTGGATCTATTAGAGGATAGAAGGGGCCTGTATAACCCAGAAGCAAATCTCAAGGCCATTGTCAAAAAGCAGCTCAAAACTTGGCTCCATTACAAGAATCTATACTGGAGGAAAAGATATACTGTCAATAGAATCAAATTTGGTGATGAATGTACAAAATTCTTTCATGGTATGGCAACAATATCTTATCGAAGAAACTCCATCTCACAGCTGAGGAATGAGCATGGTATCTGGATTCAAAACCATGAGGGGAAAGCTGGACTGTTATGGTCGTCATTTAGGAACCGTATGGGTATGACCTCATCTCCTGTTATGCTTTTTGACCTGGCAAGTCTCATTACCCCAGTTGATGATTTAGAAAGCTTGGTTCCCACCTTTTGCACTACTGAAATCGACACCATAGTCAAGCACATGCCATCAGATAAAGCGCCCGGGCCGGACGGTTTTAACAGCCTCTTCCTCAAAAAATGTTGGCAACATATCAAAGGTGATTTTTATAAACTCTGTTCAGATTTTTATCACGGTCAGGCCAACCTTGAGTGCATCAACACTTCCTACATCACCTTGGTTCCCAAACAGGATGGTCCAGAGACTGTAAATGACTTCCGACCTATCTCTTTGATGAACATTTCTCTCAAGCTCATAACAAAAATTTTAGCAGACCGTCTGCAAATTGTGATCCTCAGATTGGTTCATCAGAATCAGTACGGTTTCATCCGCACTCGCACAATACAAGATTGCCTTGCCTGGAGCTATGAATATATCCATCAGTGCCATCAGAGTAAGAAGGAAATAATCATTCTCAAGTTGGATTTTGAGAAGGCTTTCGACACAGTTGAACACTCCACCATCATACAAGTTATGACACACCTGGGCCTACCCAACAAGTGGATCCAATGGGTGCATGCCATCCTATCCTCGGGATCTTCAGCAGTCTTACTAAACGGGGCACCGGGAAAATTCTTCAAGTGCAAGAGAGGAGTACGTCAAGGGGACCCACTATCCCCACTCCTCTTCGTGCTGGCAGCTGAGCTCTTACAGATTTTGATCAACAGAGCCTCAAGCATTGACTTGCTAAGAAAACCAATCCCACAGCCAACAGATGATTTTCCCATAGTGCAATACGCTGACGACACACTGTTACTTCTCCAAGCGGATGCTAGGCAACTTGTCTTTCTCAAGTCACTTTTGCACAGCTTTGCTGAGTCTACAGGCCTGCGAGTAAACTACAGAAAATCACAGATGTATCCTATCAATGTGTCTCAGGAGAAGATGGTCATTCTTGCTAGTACTTTTGGTTGTGATATAGGTTCCATGCCTTTTACTTATCTCGGACTGCCTATGGGGACCACCAAGCCCAAAATTGATGATCTTGTGCCTCTGATGGATAGAGTGGAACGCAGGCTATCAGCATGTTCAGTTTGGTTATCCTATAGTGGAAGGCTAGAAATGATCAATTCAGCAATTACACCTATTACAACCTATGCTATGTGCACGATCAAACTGCCGAAGGGTGTGATAGAGAACATTGATAGGGCGAGAAAACAGTGCTTGTGGAGAGGTAATTCTGCAAATAAAAAGGGTGGAAATCTTGTGGCTTGGCCTGTGGTCATGCAGCCAAAAGAAAAAGGAGGTTTAGGGATTATAAACCTTCGACTTCAAAATGATGCTCTGCTTATGAAGCACCTGAGCAAGTTCTACAACAAAGAAAACATCCCATGGGTATGCCTCATTTGGAGTAAATATTACAGTAACCGAGTTCCTCATGCAACTAGAGAGGTGGGCTCTTTCTGGTGGAAAGATGTCCTCCGTCTCAATGTTCTCTTCAGACAAGTTACTAGATGTGAACTAGGAGATGGATCTTCTGTCTGCTTTTGGGATGACTTTTGGCTTGATGGGATTCTTGCACACAAATATCCACGGCTTGCTTCATTTGCCCGAAATGATGGTATTTCAGTTCTTGAGACCATGCAAGCTGAGGATTTGGACACTATATTCTTTCTACCTTTGTCTGATCAAGCCCTGCAAGAACTTGAATCCCTTCAAGAACAGTTGCAAAGTCTCACATATGACCATGATAGTGCTGATCGGTGGATCCCAATTTGGGGCAGCAGGTACACCTCACGCCGCTACTATGCCCATATTTTTAGTGCTGTGGATGCCCATCCAGTATTCAAGATGGTGTGGAAATCAAGATGCACTCCTAGAATCAAGTTTTTTGCTTGGCTTGTCCTTGTTGATCGCCTCAACACCAAGACAATGCTGCAGCGACGTCACATGAACGTACAAGATGGCACGGTGTGTATCATGTGCACCACTGGTGAGCAGGAAACCATTGAACATCTCTTTTTTGATTGCCCTTTAGCTCAGAGCTGCTGGGCAAGGATAGGGGTCAACTGGGACTCAACTATACAACTGCTTGATAGATTAACACAGGCAAGAACCTCACATACTATTCCATGCTTCGCGGAGACAGTTTTGATTGCGGCTTGGGAATTATGGAAGGTGCGCAATGACAAAGTTTTCCAAAGGCATGATCCAGCTTTGCCTAGGTGGCTTGGAAACTTTAAAAGTCAATGTTTACTTCAGTCGGTTAGGTTTAAAGTTGACATGCGGTCATCTTTTTGTGTTTGGCTTGATGCTTTCAGTTAATTCCCTGTATGTATAAACCTCTCTCTCTTTTAAATTAATGAAAATGGCTCTCACTGTGGGGATCTCCCTCACAGTTTTTTATTGTCAAAAAAAAAATATAGTCATCAGTACCATCTCACTCGTCCAGCCGAAAGTCACCCTTGGTGTGCGCGAGCCTAAATAAAAAACTCGTGCATACGAACATCTGGACACCGCTGATTTCATCTTCCTGCTATTCGGCATTCATATACGTATATACATGACTTAATACAGCAATCGCCACGTTTGTACCAAACTTATTTATATAGTCTGTATATGATGAAACATATGTCAACTTGTCTCTGGAAGGACAAGATTACCGTGAACGTCAACGAACCTCGAACTTTCTACAAGTTGAATTTCCTCGTCTATATACCTACCACACTTTTGAATTACCTTGAGTGTCTAAAACCGCCAAAAAAGGTCTAAACCGTCAAGAAAATGATCCTCAACCACAAACCGTCAAGCAAACTCTGTCAAGGATAAAAGCCACCAGAAAACTAGGATCATACTTAATTTGTCAAATGGACAAGAAAATATTGCAATCATCAAGTAAATTTTTTTTTTAAAAGGTAAGTAAATTAGATTTCTTCAAGGCCAACTACCTTCAATGAAATATTCCTAACCGTTAAGGAAATTAGTTTTCTTGAGGGCCAGCAATCTCCAAGGAAATATAGAGCAGTAGCAAAAAAAACATAAATCAACGAAAGTTGCGGCCTCAAAGGATTCAAACCTATGTTCTATTGCTTTAAATAAAAAGCCCTTACCACTACACCTCAAAGCAATTTGTGACTAAGTGAATTATTTTTTCTTTTGTATTCACTTTGTTGAACCTTGTTGAATATTTGAGATCCTAAATGATTTCAAATGTAAAAAGTTTGAACTAAAAAGTTTTAGGTCTCGTCGAATACTATAACTTTGGTTTAGGTCATATCTCCATCCGTGGTCATTTGGAAAATTGAAAAAATAAATTTTAAAGCTCTGAGAATATCCTTGGGGTTTCAAATTACACTCAAGAAAAATATAAATTACCTTGGTGGTTTCGAATAGCAATCGAGGAAATACGGATATTATGTTCTTTCGAATAGCACATAAGGAAATGAGCAATTACCTTGGCGGTTTGTAATAACATTCATGTAAATATGCAATTGAAAAACACGGCTGAACTTTTCTATTCCTCATGTACCACTGTCGTACAATTGAAAAATAAATCTGCGAAGAGCTTTTGTGTCGAATTGCTCAAATCCCATTGGAACGTGGATCGCACATCACGAGCAGGACTAAAGGAGGGATTGAAGGTTCGTGATCGTACTAGAAATGTACATCAAAGATGGCATGTTGACTCTTTCACACTCAACTTCTAAAATTCTCGCAGCGCTTTCATCTTCCCGTTCAGCTCGCTTTCGTGTAGCAGAAGCGTCTGGCGCGCGGCCGGGCGGCGACGTGGAAGCGACCTGGCCTATCATGCTGGTTGTCCATCTGCTATAAAAACCAGCAACGCAGCAGCAGTTGGCAGTTGACAGACACGGATTGTGCAGAGCCTCCATGCCGAGTGCCATGATGGTCTCCACTGCACTGCTCTTCCTCATCGTCACAGTGCACGTCGCTGCGGCGGCGACCGTTCATGAGCACTCGCAGTGCCTCGACAACCCGCCTGACCTCTCGCAGCGCGGCGTAGAAGCTGGCAAGGTCGTAGACAACCTCCCGGGGGGGATTCAGGCCTATGTCACTGGCCCGCCCAGCTCCAAACGCGCCGTCGTCCTCACCTCCGACGTCTACGGTTGGTTTAGGCACCTCCACGCGCTAGTCTAGTTAGTGCGAATTCAAGTTTAGTAGTTAGATTGATGTCTCTTTTGTCATCCGTCTGACTAGATCTATTGTCTGTTCTTTCGATATATATTCTTCAGGGTTCGAGGCACCTTTACTGAGGTACATATATAAATTGGTTTTCATGCAGTTCCTGAGTTTAAATTCCTTCTGATTTTGAACTCGGAACAAATTGCATATTAAGCAATGTAAATATTTAATTGGTACCAAAGCAGAAGCCAATAGCCATTACAAGTTTACAACACTAATCTGCTTCGATTCAGTTGTTTAAAAGATGCTCAGTTCTGTTTTCAAAAATAAATGGCAGGGGAGCTTCACCTCCTTTTTGCTGGTCCAAATATATAATACTTACCAGTGCATGTCTAATAATGCAGAAAAATAGCCGATAAAGTTGGCGTGACAGGATACTACGTTGTGGTGCCTGATTTCTTTCACGGTGATCCTTACAACGACAGTAAAAACCTTTGAGAATGGATCAAATCTCACTCCCCGGTAAGCTGCATGCTATTCACCTGTTATCGAAATTTACTTTGCATGATGAGTTGCAAACAAATTTATTGCATCTTCAATCAATCTTAAAGGTCACAGCTGCTCAAGATGCCAAGCCACTCTTCGATTATTTAAGACGGGAAGGAAAATCCGTTGGGGTTGGAGGTTATTGCTGGGGTGGTGAGTGAAATCCACATCAATCACTACAATTCACAACCATAGCCTTAATGAAATTTCGTTTTCAAAATTCTTCGTAGGACAGTACGTAAAACAAGCTTATGTCTACCTTTTTCCTGATTAACTGGCAGGAAAGTTCGCAGCAGAGATGGCGAAAACTGACGATATAAAAGTTGTTGTTCTTTCTCATCCAGTATATGTAACTGTCGATGATATGAAAGGTGTGTTTCCTTCTACCGCAATTGAAACCTCACGGTTTATCACATTTGGGCGGTACATTGTGTTTTGTGTTTGATGACTATGTGTTCGTGTGCTAACCATATATATCAACCAAAACCACAGAGGTCAAATGGCCAATTGAGATTCTTGGTGCTCTGAATGATACAATCACACCACGTGAACAAGTCCGTCAGTTTGAGCAGGCCTTGAGTGAAAGAAAGGACAAGGTGAGTTCTTGGCTTCTTGCTGGGTTCAGTGGCACCCAATGCTGGTGCACCTGCATATGTGTGAAGTGGCAGATTCAGTACCTCACATATCTCAACTTTCCCTCTTGCAGATTGAATACCTCTGACCCATTTAAAGTCAAAAGTGCTGAACAAGCTCTTGTTTACATGCTTGACTGGTTCCATAAATACTTGAAGTGAAGACATGTTTGTGTGTCCACGAACGTTGGAAATGAATAAAAATAATGATGTTTTCTTAAATCCAGATTGTAAGGTTCTTGCGCACCTGTGAATAAATGGGGATATTGATGCCTTGTTCTGTCCTTGTCAATTTTATACACACCTGACTCAGATCACACATGGCTATTCTTTATGCATGCTCTAGCTTGAGAGAATTACTTCGTTGGTTTCAAATTAGTTATCATACTAGTTTTGTCCTAAGCATCGTCTACACCCGTGTAAACGTTACATGGAGGTCTGCATATAGTGTATGGCCTAGTTACTAAATTAATAAACATGTTTAGACGGTCAACAAAGTCAAAAAGGGTTTAAATGGTACATGGAGGTCTGCATATAGTGTATGGCATAGTTCCATATCTAGTACAGTTTAAAAATAGGTAAACGCGTTTAAATGGTTGGTCATGGTCACAAAAAGGCATAAATATGTATTACAAGAGAAATGAACCACCTATTGTAATGTGTAACGACATTTCCCCATGTGAGAGCCATGTGAGAGCTATGAGTATGTGACTATATCTGTGTTTTTAATTGCCCATGTACAATTGTGCAACTTTGTGCCTAACTCAAATTGCACTTGAAAAAATAAAGTTAGCAGGGAGCTATGATATATTTTTTTTGTTTGCATATTTACTACTACAGTGTAAACTTTTGAACCAAACCATCTATACAATAAATAGAGGGTTGCTACAAACAACAAAAATTGCCCAAAGAAGGTAGACAAAAACTGATATGTGCTGATCTGGGGTTTCCCAAAACTGGTTGGGCCGGTTTTGGTAGCTTTGTCAACATGCAAAATGGACTTTACTATTACATTTCTCTCATTTCAGACAACTGTAATACAAACGTAGGTTGCCCAATTTAGACGGTATAAGTCCACCTCATCCTGTATATATAAAGGGCGACGCCCGATTAAGAAGAGGACAGTTGCACAAATCAGTATACAACTTTATCTTTTGTCATGTCTTCTCCTGTGACCTATTTTTCCAACCCCTATTTGTTGTTTATCCTTTAATTTGATGATAAAAGGTGGTGCCGTAGGGTTGCCAGCTAACCTAGGGAAACCCAGTGACATCCACGCCCTGACAGGTCTCTATTGGGCAAGTGTTTTAATGGTCCTTTACTAGTTTGTCCAAAAACTATTCATTTGTGATCACGTAAGCAGGACAGGTATTGACGTGAGCCTAATATAGGGCTACATATATCAAACCCACGTATTCAGGGCACAACAGTCTGGTTAACCCCCGACTTAACCTCCATCTAATTCTCCCAATCAGCCAGGGGCTACACCCGTCCTGTACGCTCGCGCGTACACCCCGGGCCATAAGCGAATGGTCTAAGGGGCCTCCGAAGACCCGATCTAGAAGAAGTCCTGGCAACTAAGGGAAGGGACCAAGGCAGGAGGGTCCAATTCCCTCGCTCGGGCCACCTTCGCTTGGAGGTTCGGGTGACCCTAGGGAGCTCCGGCCAAGCAAAAGCCCCCATAGTCGACCCAATCTTGGATCAGGGTGAGCGTTCACCCCATGCAACACTAGAAGATAGCTCTTGAATCTATCAGGCGCCTAGAGCCTGACAGACACAAAAGCACTACACTACCATCCCGTTCCACAGTCGATGAGGTTCACTCCCTCAACAGAGTCACGCCCGGGGCTTGACACGTCAAGACAAGGAACTCCTCCAACCTCGCGAACTATGGGGCTCTGGGCCACCCAGGCAGCCCCTCCGAGCAGGGGGAGAAGCCTAGCGTGCCAAGGAAGCCAGCAGAAGCCTCACCTATAGAAGGCACCGCTGGCGGTCAACACAAGGCTACAACAGTGGCATTAGAAGGTGGTTGCAATTTGTCGGCACCCAGCTACTAGATAAAGAGGACCGATGGCGCCAAGAGGAAGAAGACCGAACCATAGGTGCAGAAACCCTAGGAGAAACCATTCGCTTTATACCCCCATTGCCTCCCCGGTATATAAGGATGGCATGAGATCCTATAGAAGGGATCGATTGATAGACAACCGACGATCAAAATGGATCGAACTCAACGAGAGTAGCCAAACCCATCAAACTCTAGATTAGCATAATGCTTTCCCCTACACCTCTCTCTCGATTATTCCATTGTAAGAACTCTCGATTGATCATTCCTAATACGAAGAACGCCACTGCTAGACGTAGGCCTCAAAAGCATAAACCCCTTGTGTTTTGAGTGCACACATCGACCCACATCGAACAACTCAATGACTGTCGCGATTTACGATCCCATGACAGGTATCCTTTGTTGGTTTGCTCATAAACCTAGCTGCTCTTCACCATGTAAGCATGATAGTTTTGGTTCATGGACGACCCATGAAAACTAGCTAGGCAAATTCTTCCTGAAACCAACTAGGCCGGTTTTCAACAAGATCGTGCCAAAGTGACATGTTGCATTCTGAGTGTTCTAGCTCTTCAGGTGTGGAGCATAATTATGTCAACAATTGACAACCTATCGGTGTTTTGTAGACCGACCAGTAAATTTATACGGTTGTCATGCTGCTCTAGAAAGATGATGGTAGCGTCCAAAAGACACGAGGATTTATACTAGTTCAGGCCAGAGCCCTATGTCCAGTCTCGGAGATGATCGAGTGTGTGTTCCTCGCTTGAATGGGGGGTGTAAGAATAGTGGAAGAGGTAGGGGAATGGAGCTAGAGCTAGAAGATGGACTGTCCGAATGGGAGTTTCGAGAGTCCGATGCCTTGGAAGGGTTCCCTGGCTGCCCTCATATAGAGTTTGGGGCCTGGTCACATACAAAGAAGGAGGTTCTCCCGACCAATGGTACGTGAGCCTGAGGAAGGGGACCTAGCTAACTTGGCTTGCAAGAGACGCCATCTTGACTTGGTGTAGCACACGTCCGGGAGTGGTTGTCGACATGGTCTGGTGCCCATGCCGTGGCATGGGGTGGCGTGGCGCTACTATGCCGGTTGTGGTGGCACTATAGTCACGGTGGTGATCCGCCAGCCGTCCCGAGCGACGTGGTCTCACCGTGGCCTTTGTCATCGCCTCCTGAACTCCCGGGGGCATTGTACAAGAGTTGGTAGCTGCCCCCAGGTCGTTGGTTGTCTTGCTGCTTGTGGAGCTGGTGGCCACGATCCCGAGCTCCGGGGTCATGGCCTTCGTTGGCTTGGATGGCCTCAAAGTCAAGGCCACTGTCATGAACCCCATCCTATAGTGGGTGGGGTCGTACACCTGTCTCGTCGGGTCATATTTTGATGGTGGGTCACTGTACTGGCCGCCATTGCTTGGTGTTGTTGTCTTGTCTTCACTACATGGCGCAGGGGTGGTGTCAAAACCGGGCTGAGGGGACTGCTATCTCCTTGGTCCTTATGGGGTCAGTGCATCGTGCCTACTCTTGTTAGAGTGGATGCTCCTAGCGGAGCCCAATCTCTCCCCGTCCCTCCTAGGGGTCGGGGCGGAGGAGATGTCGTCGCCGCTACGCGGCGCTACGTGGTGCGCGGTGAAGGCAGAGGTAAGAGGTCGTGGCCAACCCCTGCCTTAGTGCTTGGCCCAGGTCCACATAGCTTAGCTGGGCCACGGTCATTGGGGCTTATATCAGCTCATGTATGATGGGCCGCCCGAGCGGCTGACTAATCAGTGGCTTGAGATACATGAGGTATCATAACCTCGACACAACCATTTAGTGCCCAGCGTCAAGAATAACAATAATCTTAAGACAAACATTTCTATCTTTGAGTGACGATTCTTCTAAATTCGTATTTTAATAACATGCGAATTATATAGGACGCAGCTAAAAAACGATCGTGCGTGCGTTAGGCCACACGCATAGCCATCTTCAACCTCACCCCCTCCCCCTTCTTCCTCCTGACCGGTGGCCGTGGAGCTTCAGCCAAGTCCTAGCATGCCCACGACAACATCCTTCTCCCCCTCTCCCGCCACCGCCATGACCTCCTTCTCCTTAGCTTCGCCGCCACGACGCTCTCGCCCTAACCTAGCCCGGCTGCCTCCACCGCTGCCAGGCCCCTAACCGTCCTCCAGCTATCCCCACCACCTGGCTGGCTTTCCTCTCCCCAAACCTTCCCTTTCTAAGCCTAGCGGAGTCATGGAAGATGAGAGGAGAGCTTGCTGGAACCCTAAGAAGCAGATCTAGGAGGAGGAGGAATCCAACATCGCTGGATCCGCCATGGCTGCCGCCCATGGCGCGTGGGGCACGGGGAGGAGCTTGCCAAGCGCGCGCGCGCGAGAGAGAGAGAGAGAGAGAGAGAGAGAGAGAGAGAGAGAGAGAGAGAGAGTGTGAGAGAGAGAGGGCGGGCACGTGAGGGAGGGACATGCATGAGCGCAGGCATCGGGAGGGAGATGAGCGTGTGTGAGTGAGTGTGCGCACGGCTGGATTTTAATACGGCCGTGCGTATTAAAGTCATTACCAATTATATATTGCCAAAATATTCCACCTAATGAATCTAAAACCATAAAAATTATAATTTTAAACTATAGAAATTTATACAAAATGATGATAAAAAATAAAAATGTTTGTCTTTGATAAATTAAGTAGAACAAAAACAAGAACAACAACCTTTCTGAAACAGAGCAAGTACAGACCGAATTCTCAAGGAACATGGTCGTGTGCTTGCGCCCATAAATTGTTGGTAGTATGAGCAGCAAGTTCAAACTTATAACGGTACTAGGTTGACTTCACGAGTTCCCTAATACTTTCACGTGTCTTTCCTTTTTTTTTGACATGATCAGTGGCGGCCCCTCTGACATGTGGCTAGTTCACACAACAATGATTTGGACATGATTAATTCAAAAGAGAATCCTTATACGATTTCTCAAAAAGAAACTACATATGGATGTGAAACCATCTTACATCATAGTATCCGGATGTAAACACAACAATTTTTCAAAGAAACGT